CTTGGCCAGGAGCCTGCTTCCCTTCCTCTCTCTCTACCTGTCTCTCTGCCTACTTGTGATCTCTGTCTGTCAAATAAATAAATAAATAATTAAAAAAAAACCCACAGCTAACTTCATATTGAATGGTGAAAGACTTTGTCCCTAAGATGAAAAACAAACAAGGATGTCTCCTCACTGCTTTATTTAATATTGTACTAAAAATGTAGCTAGGGTGAGAAAAAGAAAATAATTCAGATTGGAAATGAAGAAGTTAAAGTATATTTGTGGATGACAACATCTTGCATAAAGAAAATCCTAAGGAGGGTGCCAGGTGTCTCAGTTGGTTGACATCCAACTCTTGATTTCAGCTCAGGTAGTGATCTCAGGATCCTGGGATACAGCCCACATAGGGCTCCTGGCTCAGTGGAGAGTCTGCTTCCTCTCTTTCTCTCCTTCCACCCATCTCCCACCCCTATCCCTGCTTATGCACACTCTCTCTAAATAAATAAGTAATCTTTACAAATCAGTTATATTTCTATACATTAGCATTGGCAAATGCAAAATTGAAATGAAAACAATTCCATTTATCATAGCATCAAAAAGAATAAAATGCTTAGGAAAACAATTAACAAAATAAGTGCAAGACTTTACACTGAGCACAACAAAACAGCACTGAAAAAAATTAAAGAAGACCTGAGTAAATGGAAAGTGTTCATGGATTGGAAGACTCACTATTGTTAAGATGGTGATGCCTCCCAAATTGGTCTACTGGTTCAATGCAATCCTTATCAGAATCCCAGCAGGCTTTTTGTTGTTGTTGTTGTTGTTGTTGTTATTGTTGTTTTACAGAAATCAGTAAATTGACCTTAAAATTCATATGGAAATGCAAGGGACTCTGAAGAGCAAAAACAATCTTGAAAAAGGACAACGGAGTTAGAAGACTCATACTTCCTGAGTTGAAAGATGTATTATAAGTTAGACATTAGATTTTGAACATTTTGATACATTAAACATACAAATACTATCTTTTTATTTAGTACATACTAAAAGGAATTAACAGAAATTATCTTAGATTCCATCATAAATTTCTCAAGCCAAATTCTCATTATTCAGATTATCTCCTTTCAAAAATTACATTTCAATAAATGTGATTTTATTTGCTTATTTATTTGAGAGAGAGCATGAGCATGTGACTGTGACGGGGGAAGGGCAGAGGGAGAGAGGAAGGGGGTGGAGAGAATCTTAAACAGGCTGCACACTCAGTATGGAGCCCAGTGCTGGGCTCAATCTCAGACCCTGAGATCAGGACCGGAGCCAAAATCAAGAGTTGGATGCTTACCGACTGAGCCACCCACGTGCCCCAATAAATGTGATTTAAAAAAATATATTCAAGGTTTAGTTTGGAATTTTAACTGATATTAAATTTATTTTGCTTTTACCAGTGAGCAGTATTGTTTGCTTTATAGTTATTTCACTCAAATGGCCAGCCTGAGGTACCTAATTTATCTATCTAGTAGAAGATCTCAAAATGTATAAGAATTTCTAACAAAATCCATAAACCATCAATAGTAACCAATTATTAGTGTTAGCTTAATATTTTGAGATAATACTACTGAAGTGTGATTTAAGGAACTAAAAATACTAGTTAAAATCTAATTCCTATTTTACCAATTAATCTTTCTCTCAACCATTAATGTTTAATTTCCTTCTACTCTCCCCCTTTACGTTAAGAACAAAACAGCTCTCAAATCATCATGAAGTTTTAAAAAAAAGATTCCCTCACTTTTTTCTAAACAAGTGAGAGTATTCCAAACTTCAGAGTATGGATTTTGTATTTTGAACTTTCGGCCTACTTGTATTCAAATTCCTTTAAAATGATTTTTATCTTTTCTTCAAGGAAATTTAAAGTTCTGTACTCTACCAGGGAGTAATCAAAACTTCTTCTTTCTCTTTGTATATTCAACATGGAAAGAACACTTTAAATGTCGTGTTTCAGATCTGGTGAAAATTGTGTAAATTGTTGTAATATGAATCCTTCAGAATGAATAATGCAACTCTCCTGATTGGAATAGAATGGTTTTTCAGGTGATTATCCTTGATATCATTAACTCCTCCTCCATGCAGATAAAACATAATAGATTTTTTTCTAAGTTTAGCAGTTTTGGGGGGGAAATAATTCATGAGGTAAGACTTCCCTCTTAGGTTGTCTTTATTGCTTTTAACTTTATACCCTAAATAACATTTCAAAAGATCCATACATAGATATCTTTTTCCCCAATAATCAAGGCTACAGGGAATTCATAGTATATGTCACTCTTATTTATTTATTTTTTACCAATTAATGATCTCAACAAAACACTACTAGTTTCCCTTCTACTTTCTAAGTTTTGTAAGCACCTCTCTTTGCTGGCATCTATTGCTAAAGGAAGACAGACCATTTTAAAGATTCTTATATTAATTGCAAACTTGAACACAAATACATCACCTGTGATATCTCTGGAACCAAGACAAGGCTGAAGTTTGGATCTAAATTATCTTTAAAAATCTAAATTATCTAAAAATTATCACTTCTCCAGTTGCACTTATGTGGATAAGAGAATAGATTCTGGAGCCAAACTATAACAGTGTGAATCATAGCTCTGCCATTTCATATGGTGAGTGATCATGGGCTGGTGATTTAAACTCTCTATGCCTCAATTTCTTCATCTATAAAATGTGGCTAATAAGAGTGTGCACCACGTAGGATTGTTGGGGGATAAAATGAATTAATATGTGTAAATGCTTAAAATAATTATCTAGCATGTAGTTGCACCTATGTGTTAGTATTATCTAAATTTCATTTGCTTTGGATTGACAAAGAGCTGAAAAGAGCTGATATGCAACACTATTTCAATGTCAACATACAGAAATAAGTAAATGAAATATAGCTTGAGTTTTGTTCTGAACACTTTAACTTGAATCTAACTAGAGCTTGGTTATTATATTGTAAACAGTTGCTCTTTGTTTTGTCCAGGGTATTTGTTTTCCATTTATATTTAAAATAATATTTTTGCCTTTTTCTTTTATCATTTTAAAATTTCATTTACTAGTCATATATATTGTATTCTCCTCTGATTTGCCTTAAATTAAAAGAATTATAAAGTGTATTAATGTTACTATTGCCATTGCTAGAACTAGAATCAAACTAAATTTAATTGCATAGTACTTGGCACATGTCATACTCTCTGAGAATTCTATGTTTATTTTCAGACATGTTTATGCCTGAACATATGATCTGGGAATAATCTTCTTATATAAATGGAAACATGATCATTAGAATGGATTAATTTATTTATTCATTTGACATTTTTGAATGAGTACCATAATCTAAGCTCCTTTCAAGCATTTTTTCTAATACTTTCTGTCACTCTCGGAACTTAAGTATTAACATGCTTTTAAAATAATTCATTCAACATGAATTCTAATTTATTGAGTTAATTAAGTAATTAAATAAAATGGCAAGGTATTTCTGGAGGGAAAACCCCGTATGTGCCAAGACAAACGGTACTCCACTCAATATACTAATTGTAACCAATAAACTGCTTAAGTGTATCTCAGTTAACTTACTATATCAGGGAACTCACAAGAGCAGCACACTGTGCTGGAATCCTTTTTATAAATAAGTCTCTCCTCTTTATGATATGTGAATAGACAAGGCCTGAGGCACCCCTTGGTCAAAGATTAAAATGCTTTAAATCAGGGCTTCTTAATTTGGCCCAAATCAGCTGGTGGAAGAATATGGTATCTGGGATACAAAGGAGGAATGTAGTAAGAAGTAAACTAATTATAGAATAGAGATATCTATCTAGCTAAATAGGTTCAAGCTTAAAGCCTTTACCGTAACAAAATTTTTTTAATTTTTTTACTCACTTGATTTTGTCTTTATATTATTCTGATAATAGTCAAGTAATCAAGTCCTGTCACCCTCTGAGCTTCAGTTTCCTTATCTGTAAAACCCCTTTCATTTCTTATCCAGGCCTAAGATTCTGACTCTAAAACTGTTTGATTTCCTTTTAAATTTAACGTGGGTTCACACTGTGAAAGGACTCAACAAAGCGAGATGCCTCTTCCTTCAACTATACTATTTTTACAGCAGCATAGGGACATAGAAACTTTACTTTGAAAAATAAGGTCTCCCTAAGACCACGTGACACCATACATCCTAAGAAACTTTTGCATGATCATAAATTCCCCACATACTTGGAAATAAGCAAGGATTAACTATTATGAATTATAATTTTATAAGAATTTATCTCCCCTGGGGCGCCTGGGTGGCTCAGTGGATTAAAGCCTCTGCCTTCCGCTCAGGTCATAATCCCAGAGTCCTGGGATCGAGCCCCACATCGGGCTCTCTGCTCCACGGGGAGCCTGCTTCCTCCTCTCTCTCTCTCTCTCTCCGCCTACTTGTGATCTCTGTCTGTCAAATAAATAAATAAAATCTTAAAAAAAAAGAATTTATCTCCCCTGGTTAGATTACATAAAGGGGAAGTAGAGTTCTTTGAAGTTCACTGATTAGAGTGTGGGGAGACCAGGGTATCCTCTTGTTTTGTGCTCACAATTACTCTAGCTCATTCAATATAATGTGTAACCTTACAAATTATGAAATTTAATGGAATAAAAAAGTTTGTAAAAGTTCTATACACTTTAAAAAATAACTTACATTTGGACACTTCCAAAATATGCTTTGACTGGAGAATATTAATTCCTCAGTCAAGACGCAGGGTGGCGCTGCAGGCTAAGATTGTGAATAAAGAGCCCTAAAAAGCTCCGGTATTCCTTTGTTACAAAAAGGAATCAAAAATACACGCGAGAGGCTTTGCCAGCTCTGCTGGGTTACCAGCGAGTTTGGGATGCAATATACTAAACGAATTTAAGATTAAAGGCAACTTTGTGCGGACTCCACCAAACAAGAAGTCAGAATTTAATATCTCCAGTCTTCGTGGTTCCTAGGAGGGATTGGATGTAAGCACCGGGTCTCCAACATGGAGACGCTAGAGAGAATTCAACCAAACAGGCAAGTGATGGCCTTTATTTTGATGGTGTTCTTGTCTCGGGCTCGCGCCGAGCCTATGCGTTATTCTGTGGTGGAAGAAACAGAGAGTGGTTCCTTTGTAGCCCATCTGACCAAAGATCTGGGCCTGGGAATTGGGGAACTGGCCGCCAGGTCGGCCCGGGTGGTGTCTGATGATGACAAGCAGCGCTTGCAGCTGGATCGTCAGACCGGAGATTTGCTTTTGAGGGAGAAACTAGACCGGGAAGAGCTATGTGGCCCTGTTGAACCGTGTGTACTGCACTTCCAAGTGTTCCTCGAAACGCCGGTTCAGTTTTTTGAAGGAGAGTTATCAATCCAGGACGTAAATGACCACTCCCCAGTGTTCCCGACTAGGGAAATGCTCTTGAAAATACCGGAAAACAGCCAGCCAGGGACTCTGTTTCCGTTGAAACTAGCTCAGGATTTAGATGTGGGCAGCAATGGTCTTCAAAAATACACTCTCAGCCCCAATTCTCATTTTCATGTACTAACTCAAAATCATAGTGAGGGCAAGAAATACGCAGATTTGGTGCAGGACAAAGCGCTGGATCGAGAGGAGCAGTCTGAGTTCAGCTTAACCCTCACGGCACTGGATGGTGGGTCTCCGCCTAAGTCTGGCACCATGATAGTGCAAATCCTGATCATAGACGTCAATGACAATGCTCCAGAGTTTGTGCACACCCCATATGAGGTGCAGGTCTTGGAAAACAGCCCCCTAGGCTCCCCAGTACTTAGTGTCTCAGCTAGAGATATAGATGCTGGAAACTTCGGGAGTGTTTCATATAGCTTGTTCCAAGCATCAGATGAAATTAAACAAACTTTCTCAATAAATGAAGTCACAGGAGAAATCCGATTGACAAAGAAACTGGATTTTGAGCAAATTAAATCTTACCACGTGGAAATTGAGGCTATAGACGGAGGAGGCCTTTCTGGAAAAGGCTCTGTAGTCATAGACGTGGTGGATGTGAACGACAACGCCCCTGAACTTACCATAACTTCACTCACCAACTCCGTCCCAGAAAATGCGCCTGAGACTGTAGTCTCTGTCTTCAGAATTCGGGATCGAGACTCTGGAGACAATGGGAAGATGATTTGCTCTATTCCAGATGATCTGCCGTTCCTTCTGAAACCGACTTTCAAGAATTTCTACACCCTAGTAACAGAGAGCCCCCTCGACAGAGAGAGTCAGGCCGAGTACAACATCACCATCACCGCCACCGACCTGGGGACCCCCAGGCTGAAAACCCAGCACAACCTAACGG